TTTTTTATATATTAAACTTTATCATTTTATTAAAAAATAATTTTTATTTTTATATTAAAACAAAGTTTATAAGTTATAGTTTAATATATATTTTTTTTAGATTTTTAGATTTTTTTAAAAGAATTATTCTAATTATAAAGTTAATATAAAAATTTTTGCTTTAGCTTTACAATTAGAATAACTCTTTTAGAAAAAATCTAAAAATCTGAAAAATATATATTAAATTATAATTTATAAATTTTATATTAATATAAAAACAAAAATTATTTCTTAATAAAATTATAAAGTTTAATATAAAAAAAAATTTAAATTTTTATTATATTTTATTAATAAATTAATTTTTTGTTTTTATAATTATGAAAGTTATTATATAAAATTAATTAATTTTATTAATTTATTAATAAAAATTATTATTTATATTTATAAATTTTTATTATTTTATATTAATATATAATTAATAAAAATTTAATTATTAAAAAATAATTATTATTTAAATAATAAAAAATAATTGAAAAATATATATATTAAATTAAATTTATAAATTTAAATAAAAATTATTTTTTAATAAAATTATAAACTTTAATATAAAAAGAAAATTTTAATTTATATTATATTTTATTAATAAAATAAATTATTTATTATATATTATTCTTAATTTATTCTTAATTTTTATCTTATAATTTTCATTATATTATTTTTTATATTTTATTTTTATTATTTTTAAATTCTTAATATTTTTTATATTTTTATATTTATTTTTTATTAATATTATATTATTAATTATTATTAATATAATTATTTTTATTTTTATCTATTTATAATTTTTTATTTATTTAATTTATTAAATTTAATATAATATTAATTATTAATTAAAAAATTAAAAAAAATAATTATATTAATTATTAATAATTTTTTTAAATAAATAAATTAATAATATTATTCTTTTATATATTTTATAATTTTAATTACTTATTTAATTAGTAAAAATATTTTGATTATTTATTATATATTTTAATAAATTATATATAAAATTATAAAAAATAAGAATATTTATTATTAAAATTTATAATTAGCAAAATTTTATTATTATCTTCTTTTTATTTTTATTTTAATAAAGTTTTTTTATATTTTTTCTTTTAAATATATTTATTTCTCAAATAAATATAATTATTATAAAAAAATAAAATATATATATTTTATTTTTAAAAAATTTAATATTTATTTAAATAAAATAATTAATATAATTTTAAAGCTTGAAATCACCAGAATTTTTTAAAAATAATTAAAAAATATATTATTTTAGCTATTTTAATCATTTTAAAATAAAACTCAAGATAAAAACCTATTTTAATTTTTTTATAAAATATTTCTTATTATAAATTTAGTTTATTTATAAATTTTTAGCTTTATTAGATTATATATTTTTGAGATATTTGATCTTGAAAGAAAACTTTTTTATTAATTAAAATTTTTATTTTAAGATCAAATATCTCAAAAACTTATATAATCTAATAAAACTAAAAAATTTGTAAACAAACTAAATTTATAATGAGAAATATTTTTATAAAAAAAATTAAAATAAGTAGATTTTGTCTTGGATTTTGTTTTAGAAATTTTATCTAAAAAATTTCTAGAGATCTCAAGCTTTAAAATAATATATTGATCATTTTATTTGAATAGATATTAAATTTTTAAAAAATAAAATAAATGCTTTCATTTATTTTGCAAGCCATTGTATATATTAACTAATTTCAATCATATATAAATTGTTAATTACCAATTTAAATATATTGTGATCAAAGTTAATAATCGATGCAATTAATTAACAAATGAAATTTTTAATTTCTATGACACAATCAATCGAGTCAAGGGGCAATGTAAATTTGACCGCAAATACAAACGGATAAGATTTTATGGGATGCTTGCACTATATCATCAAAATCTATGTTTTTTATTTTTAAGATTATCATGAGTAATTGAAAATACGTTATGAAGTTTATATGCTATATATGTATATGATATTTATACAATTAATTATACAATAATTTTAATGGTAACTTAAAAATTGGCAAAAATCACTTAAATTAAAGAAAGTATGATAAAAGAATAGAAAAATAAATTACCAACACCAGATTGACGATCCTTGTTTCGCTGCTCACATAATCAACTTTGGATCTATCGGAGGTTGTACTAATATCACATTGTTGTTATTTAATTCACGCTTGAATGAGGTTAAGTTCTGTGTGAATCGATCTCGATTTTTTGTGGTAAGATTGAGTTCGACATCCTCCATCAGACTATCGAGAGCCTGAGTACAAGAAAAATTAATATTTCTTATATGAATAAATCAATATGATAAATTATTTGTACCTTCTGCAGTATTTCTCTTCGTTCAGGCAATTGATATTGAATAAGATTTTGTGTATATGTATACATATACTACGAAGAAGCTTATTTATTAGTAAAATAGACTATCCAAATCTTATTATTCGCCAAATAAAAAGAAGCCACTTACATCTCGATTCAATAATATTAATCCCAATAGCGGTCTGGACAACGACCATTGAGTTGCTCGATCGTCAAATAAAACGGCACCAAAATTCGCTACAAATAAATAAGGTAACAAATCACTATATTGTGCGAAATAATTAAGCATCCAATGTTGTTGGATTTTTGGCTTTGAGGTCTGCTGGACTACAAATGTACAGATGTGGTCAATGGCATTGCATGCATAAGAACATGGGGCGCCATGTAATTAATATAATTCATGAATTAAAGGGAATATATGTGATTGCGATGGATTAAAGTATAATGAAATTAGTAAGGATATCAAGTTCTTGAATCCCTGCAGCGAGAGCCCGCATTATATATAAGAATGTATCAGAGCTCATCTCCGTCAATGTCATCATATGTTCATTGCTAAATGTGTCAAGCAGCTCGTAGAATGCCCGTGAGAGTTTAGGATAGACCTTAATAAATGAGATGCAAACTATTAAAAATAGTTACGCAAACTGAAAAATAATTCATGTTTTATAAGAAAAACATGTACAATTATATCGTCAAAAGGTATATTGATGATCAAATCAAAAGTTGTCTTTAATGCCAATTCCAGAGCTTTATCACCATATAATTCAAACACGCCGAAATTGACGTAACGTCCGACAAATGACTTCATTAGAATGCTAAAGCATACAGACACTCCTTTATATCTAGAAAAAGAACGAGAAAAGTCATTTATTATAATTTGGTAATTGAGTGATTCTGTTTGGTTACATAGACTGCTTACTTTTCGGTATACTTGTCAGTACTTATTGTAGGACGTCTTAGCCATTGGGCACCTAAATTATTAAAAAAACTCTTAGAGAAAATTGTATTATCATAAAATAATAACAGTATGTATACATAACACAGACCATATGTGCATAACACTTTGCTGATAAAAAAAATTAAAATATCGAACGAGTTAATATTATCAAACGAATTAATCATATAGTATAATTTTACCTTGTTTCTCTGAACATAAGTATCCCATTAGGAGACGATATATCAAAAGTCAACCTGTTTGACCTGTTATAGACAAACTCATGAAAGAACTTGAGTATCGAAATTGCCAATGGATCATCAGCCCAAGCCTCTAAAGCATGCAAGAGAATTTGCATATGCTTTGGATAGAACCATTCGAAAAATACTAAAAAATTTTTGCGTCCTGATATAGCGAGAATGAATCCTCGTAAATCTCGGAATATACCTAATAACGTCGCCTATAAAATTTTTAATTTAGCGTGTCTTTAATTTGTAACCATGAGATTTACAAAAATTTCACCTTTACAGCTTGCTGTCTGTACGCTTCGAGCGAATTCAACGACGCTAGTTCCTGAAATGTCATATCCCACGGTTTTACAAACTCTTCAAAATCTTTTTCTGGATTGTCTTCAGAGAATATGATTCTCGATAATGCCGAGTAATAAATCATACGGATCCGTTGATTGTCAGATACATCGAGAAAAGGGAAATTTTTGCCATTATGATTTTGGATAATATATTGTACGGTTTCGAGGTTTCGGAGAAGTCTCACAATACTATACCTATAATATATAATTAATAAAGGTTATGTATAAAAGTATTTTTTACACATTGAGAATCATATGAATCATATTTACCCGCCAGATAAATCATTAAAGAGATTTATACTTTTAGTGACAACTTTTGATCGCGTCGCCCAGACTTCGAGATTAGTCGCTCTAGACATACGAAACATAGTGAGCCTGTAACTTGAACCACAAAACACGTGTATTAAAGAATAAAACTTACATTTTTTGAACTATCACATTCAGGAGCTAAATGAAATATAATAAAAAAACGTTATTAGCGAATTTTTTTAAGCAAAAGTATCAAAAGAGATGCACCAAGGTACCATATTTTGATCATTAATTCCGAGAAGTGTAGATAGTTTGCTGTATACTTTAGATATACGTGTAGTGCTTTCACCAATATAGCTTTTGCGAAATTGCTGAAAGAAATAAATAAAAGCTAATTCCAATTTTTCAAATCCACAATTGCCGCCTTGCTAATTACAAATTAATTATAAAAAAGTAAAGATAAGTTGAAATAGCATGACTTGAAATACATCGCAAAACGTTAAATGAATTCTTTTCTTACTGGTGAACTATATGATTGATTCACGTTCATAAGTTGTAAAACTTTACAGCTCAAATTACCATCTAAAATATCTTGATCCTCAGTACTGATATAAGTCTAAACGAAAAGTGAATAAAATTTATTACTGAATATGTCAAGAGAATGATTATAATTTTTCATACCTGCCGACCTCCAATAACGGCACCAATTATGTACACCAGCCACGCAAATTTAGCTTTGAATATAAAGAAATGTTAAGAATGATGATGAGATGGTAAGAAAATAATAAAAAATTGCATACTTTCAATAACTTCCATAGCAGATGTAAGAGAATGGTTAATTAGACCACTTGAAGCTTGCTGAATAAGCTCCTGTTTAATTATCATAAATTCAGAATTAAAGAACAGGAATAGAAACGAAAAAACGAGCAAAAACTAACTTGGTATTCTCTCGCGATAGGATCGAAAATGCTTATAATTATTCCGGCAGATTCGTCATATTTGCATCTGGCAATATGAGCAAACATTTCCAAATCAGTAACGAGTGCATCTTCATTCTCTAATGGATCTTTTAACAAAAATAAATATAAACAATTAATATTACATTATATGAAGGAACAAGAGATAAGAAATTCATCAAGTTACCGTCAGTCAAAGTCGAGCCTTCTATTAACGAAGCAACGGATTCCACTTTTGAGGATATGAATGTGCGTGTAAGCTTTAAAGAAAATATATAATTTTTAGTCAATCACTATAGCCAGTAATCAATAAGAAATCTTTGGATCAAATACCTGGGATGCTATTAATTCAAGTCGATTGCCATTGGAACCACGAGATGTTCCATTAGAGGATAGCATTTTGGCCCAAAAAATATTCAGGTATTCAACACTACTTGGAGCCAACTAATAGATTATTTTTTACATGTTAAAGCGATGTCATAATAAGTCGTGCACAAAAATAACTTTCAAGATAATTCTGTTAATTTATATAGCTACCTGCCAAGCCTCAAATCCTTTAATCGAAAAACCAGCAACCAGATCTATCCATTCACCATATCCTGGTTTCTCAGAGATTTCAGACCATTGATAGGTTGATCTGAATCTAGAGAGTACCCGACAAAACTCATGATAACTACTAAGGTCATCCAAGTGGATAGATTGCATAAGTATTTCTGTTGTTCCTTGCATAATTCCATGAATGAATTTTGCGCGTTCTTCTTCATTAAACAGAGACCGACGAATAGAGGATACTTGCACGAGTACTTCCATAACCTTATCGTCAATCGGACAAAATATTATTTAGCAATAGTGCTGGAATTCATGAAAAACACGACTTATCATTGTCACTAACCTTATTGGACAATGGGGGTTGAAATGTTTTATATGCTTGAAACAATGTTTGGAGAAAGGCGGGATCTTCTACTGTAGTACGCCAGGAAGCAGGGATCTGAAATTTATTGAAGTTCAATATTGTATGTTAAGAAAGTCATTAAAATATTGTTATAATCGTAAGTACTTGAACGCTTCCGGCATCCTCCGAAGACTCATCGGGAGTCGTCCCAATGAAATCGAATAATAAGCAGTTGCGTAGCAAGATCAAACAGTTTTCTTTCATCCTTATTTCCTGTTGAGCTATCAGATAAATTTGATATCAGATTAATTTAATGATGTACAAATAATGAAAAATTACAACGTTCAGGTATTGATTGATACCATTAGTGAATGGCACTTCACCATTCAATAATTGTCGCAATATATTCAGCCCCAAACGGAAAGAATCTAATAGTTCAGCATCTCTAAATCCTGAGGCTTTATATAAGAAATTAAGATTAAAAATGTGCCAATTCGTAAAAAACACAAGTCTTAGAGAAACGCAGAGCTTATACTTACCTATTTTTCTTTGTTTGGTCAAATTTCTTGCATGATTCGTGGATAGATTGACTTCTTCAACTACTAGACCCAATATCTGTAAACCTATAATTCTATGATCTACAGTCGCCTGAATACATACATAATAAAGTTCCCCAATGTTTCATAGTTTTCATATTCATTCTTAAGCACACAGGCACAAAAATTTGAAGGATAGATTTATTCGAGAATTTTAATATCGATTCAATCAGCTTTAATATACCTGTAAAAAACTTGACAAATCGCTCGTGACATTCTTAAAATCCTCATTATCAAACCACCCGACTTTGGTGATAGTAGCAAACAGTTGTGCTAACGATGCAATGACAAATGGTTGTAGATCTGGATGCTGTCCCATATAATTCAGCACAAAATTTCCTTTTATTTATTGATGTGAAACAATTATATATATATTGAGACATTTATGATGATCAAAAGAAGAGAAACACAATTTGAAAACCGCACGACATCACTATTATATGCTAATCTTGCGCCTCTTGAGAAATGCGGCGCAGAAAAGATATAGTGCAGTAGCTCAAACCGTACTCAATTCTATCTTTTGAGGCAAAGAGAACGTTGAGAAATGATCCAAGACCAAATTTTTGAGTTTTGCCGAAGCAAACATTTGAGCATAAGGCGAATTAGACTTTTGTAGCAGCATTTGACAATAAAGCGAGCATTCGGCTGGTGTCTGAATAACTATCCCAAGGGGGTTCACTGGTGAGTTGCTACCGTTTGGCACTCTTGCAGTATCAGAGAAAGGCGGGAGAGCATAATCTAATAATTTTTCTGCGTTCGTGCGCTGTTCCTGAGTTTTTGGGTTATAGAGGTCTATCCAACACGAAGCAAAATGGAACCATTGTTGAGCAACACGCGCATTGTAGAGAGCAAATAACCTGAGGGCTCGTTAACCTTGACATAGGGTTTCCAAATATTGTAAGTTTTGAGAATGAAGTCCATCCATCGTGTTCAAGGCTAAGATTTTTGATAAGAACGAGAAATCGCAAAAATCTTGGTATCGATGCAAAATTAGTCGGATGATGTGCACTAATTTTGTGCGACGACGGTAATTAATGATATCATAAATACGATTGGATCGATCATGTTGCTCCGTGTCACGTCAAAAAAATTATATAGACGCACGCGAACTGCCATTTTTGAATCTTCACAACTAAAAGGATGGATATAGACGAAGAAACATATAAAATTGAAAAAGAGTTGTGGGTTACCGGACATAACGGTGGTTCTATGTCGGAAATTAATTCTGTTGCTGGCGTATTGCTAGTTAGTATGATACTATCTTCAGAGTATGATTGAAATCCATGGTTTACCTCTTTCAACTTAAAAAAGAATTTGTTCGATTTTACTTATCTTCTCAATAGAGTTCTTATATTCTTTGGTCCACTTTAACAAAAATGACATCGGGTTTCAAATTCTATAATTCTATTGCAAAAGATTTTCTTTTCGAATATTCAATAATAATTATTCCCTCACTCCTAGCATGTACAGTTTTATCCTCATATACTTTTTATCTCAACATGTCATTCATAATACTTTCCGGATACATAATCTACCGTAATAGACCCAAAAATGAAGCAGAACCCAAACCGAAAAAATCATATTGGGCAAGAGAACGTGAAGGAGGAGACAGTAGTGACAGCGATAATGATAATAGTAATGCAAATGAGATGGAATTCCTTGTAAATCAAACTGTGAAAGTTGTTGGGGATGAGGAGGAGGAGCGCTACGAGGATGGTGATGAAAATAGTGAAAGATGGAAAAAAGAAAAAAGGATAAATTCACATAAACCTTTTCTGAGTGCTCATAGAGCTGGCATGGTGATTTTGACTTGCATTTCGATTTTGGCTGTAGATTTTCCTGCATTTCCGAGACGTTTTGCTAAAGTTGAGACATTTGGTACTTCATTGGTAACAGCTATATATATATATATATGTGTGTGTGTGTTTAAAATTTTGCTTTTTTACTTATATCGATTTCTTACATATCGCGCTATTTTTTTTTGTATAGATGGATCTTGGCGTTGGATCATTCGTCTTTTCAGCGGGTATCGTGGCCGCGAAACCATTTCTAAAGAGACCTGAGAATCGATTTAAACCGCTCAGCGGACAGTTAGTCCGTGTTTCTCGACAATCCATACCAATCTTAGCATTAGGTTTTATACGATTATTGACGGTAAAAGGAGTAAATTATCAGGTAAAGGTTTCAAACTATTTTTATTAATTTCCTTGATATCAATTTTGGAAGAGCGAGTTCAC